GGTGATATCAGGGTCATAATCGTGACATCAGGGACATGGTGGTGATATCAGGGTCATAATCATGGCATCAGGAACATAGTGGTGGCATCAGGGACATGGTGGTGGCATCAGGGTCATAATCGTGGCATCAGGGACATGGTGGTGGTATCAGGGTCATAATCGTGACATCAGGGACATGGTGGTGATATCAGGGTCATAATCATGGCATCAGGAACATAGTGGTGGCATCAGGGACATGGTGGTGGCATCAGGGTCATAATCGTGGCATCAGGGACATGGTGGTGGTATCAGGGTCATAATCGTGACATCAGGGACATGGTGGTGATATCAGGGTCATAATCATGGCATCAGGAACATAGTGGTGGCATCTGGGACACAGTGGTGGTATCAGGGTCATAATCGTGACATCAGGGACATGGTGGTGATATCAGGGTCATAATCATGGCATCAGGAACATAGTGGTGGCATCTGAGACACAGTGGTGGCATCAGGGTCATAATTGTGACATCAGGGACATGATGGTGATATCAGGGTCATAATCCTGACATCAGGGACATGGTGGTGATATCAGGGTCATAATCATGGCATCAAGAACATAGTGGTGGTATCTGGGACACAGTGGTGTTATTAGGTCCATAATCATGGCATCAGGGACATACAGTAGTGGTGGTATTAGGGCCATAATCATGGCATCAGGGACATAGTGGTGGTATTAGGGCCATAATCATGGCATCATGGACATAGTGGTGGTATTAGGGCCATAATCATGGCATCAGGATCATGGCGGTAGCATCAGTGACATAGTGGCATTAGGTACATTACTGTGGCATTGAAACATAATGGTGGCATCGGGACAAACTGAAGGGCCATAGAGGTGGTATAGTGCCATCATTAAGGCAGAGTAGAGGTGTGGTGGAACAATGGTAGTATTTTCATTAATACCAATCATTGTAGCACACTATATAATTTGTTGTTTAAACTTACGGCATGACAAATTGTTTGAGAAAATCTTAGACTTACCTCCAAATCATCAAAGACATCCGGAGACACTTTAATAACCGTATAAATAGCATGCGCCACTGAAAATGCATGCGTCCAATTGTGATATGGAACTGTGCGATAGTTCTTTCTCACAGTCAATGTAAATCGACACACTTCCTCATAATCAAACCTGAAATAGTCACAAAATAAATACACAAAAACGTTTTTCAGTTTGATGTCCTAGAATATGGGCCTGATGACTATAAAAAACAAATACTTGGATATTCATATTTGATTACATTTCAGATTTGTCAAACTTCAAATGTGAAAACTATAAATAGATTTGTAAGAAGGGAGATGGCTGCCAGTCAGCCATTTTTTATTAGATTGAATAATACATTCTTAATGCCTAATAGAATATTTCACATCAGAACTATGATGTCAATTATCACATATTTCTTATTTATTAAATTAATAAATCTCTTGAGTTTGAATAGAATATGCAAATTATAATTGTTTGATTGAAATTTTTGTGTTTACATAGCACACAAAGGGAAGAAAATTTGACATACTTTTGCTGATCATACACATTGAAAATCCTTCATAGATTGTATGTGTACACTTACTTTGTAAGGCCGAATAAATCTTTAAACATACACAACACATAAAGTGGCTTGGCTTCTTCCTCTAAATCCCATGGTGAAAAGTCAAACCTGAAATAAAGAGAGACAATTTAATGTGAAGACGGAAAAAAAAAATTGAACCAGCGTCCTTTTATTCAATTGTCAACTTGTGTTGAGTCCTGAAGAAATTTTAATATGTTCAGCTGCTGGAGCTTTTGTTTTATAATTGATGTTGGCAATCTTTGACTATCTGTGGAGATGTTCAGCAACTGATGTCTCAATCTACATTTTCAGCAAATATTGATAGCTAAATCAAACTTGGGAAAAATTGTATTCTGGTTTCTTCAAACCAAATCAAAGTGTGAAAGTCTCTGATTTATTTTTTACCACAAGAAAAAGTTTACAGAGACGATTACACAATATAAAATTCACACAACTTACAATACAGGCAATATATATAGATCTATAGATCACTGCACTGTGATTTAATTTGTTTACATTTTTGCCAAGCAGCTTGCAAATGTCCGATAACAAATTTCGCTCACTGCTACTAAGACAATATTACCCATTGGTTGTTTTATCAACAGGGACACATATATTTAATAATAGTACCGTAAAATCTGTATTAGAAGCAGCATCTCTAATAGAAGTCGTACCCATTCTTTTTGAATAATTGAGAACCATAAATTCATCATTTCTCATATATGTAGATGCTCTAATAGAAGCTGCATCCCCTCTGTTGCATTGTACCATTTCAATAGAAGTCGCGGCTTTTAATACAGATTTAGTAGTAATAGTAGCAGCAAACAATGCAGACGACCAGTTCTTGCCAACAAGTGGCAAATTAATATCAAGGGAAACTATGACATGTCATGCCGTAACCGCACACGATAAAGTCAATAATGTCAAACTGTTAACGAAAATAATGTACCTGCTCAATTCTGGCATTGCCACGGGTAGCGGTTTCATTCGTAACGCTTCAAACTCGCTTTCTGTACACTGGCTATGATAAGACAAGACCTCGACCGCCACACGATATTTCTGTTCCGACCTACGTATTTTGTCGTACAGCTGCAACGAAAGAGATTAAGTGCTAAGTGCAAATAGAGTGCAAGCAATTGCAAAGTATGGAAACAATGTGCATGTCAGGAAAACAAGGCTTTTAACGAAAGAGTTTATTAATTAGATTGAAAAGATCAGTAAAATTAGAAAAAAATATATTACAAAACTACAAATAATTTATCCCAACGAATTATTATTATTACTGGAAAAGCAGTAAATTTAATATTTTTTGAACATACACATTTTTCATAAAATATCCTATTAATAAACACAGTTATTGTTTATTATTTACGTATAAAAATGGTAAATAATCTAATATGTAAATAAGGGAGTCCTCATTTTTAAACTTGGGAGCGTGATGATTTGGAAGGGAAGATTGGAAAAATCTGGCAGACTAAGAATTCAAAAAATTCAGTTTCAGGATACCCAGATTTATGAGGTTGAGAGGCTAATCAGTGCATACAATTTAAGTCATGTGATAATCTGTTGTAAGGAACCCCGATTTTGCCATCAACCAGCATTATTTGTGTAAACTTTGAAAGTCAGAATCACTTTTTGTGTGCAATGATGTATTTGCTAGTTTTGAGGGTTTAGAGTGGTCTATGGGTCAGAGGTTCTTCAACATTTTGCATTTCAAAAGTGTATAAACATATTACATTAATAGAGTAATACACAAAAGAGAGGTGCGTTGATTAAATATTCTCTCATTATAGAAATACTACTATAAACACTACAGTGTCAGTATTATAGCAAGCATGAAGATGAACTTGGTTGTCATGGTAATGCCCAAGACTCCTTACATACAAGAAGCATTAACTCAAACAAGTGATCTGTGCTTATTTGAGGTTTTTATAAAACTGTGCAAAAAAAAGAAAAGGAAAACCTAGAGATTTTTAAAATGTGTGAATGTCCATATAAATATAGACAGTTCTCAAATTAACAATCTCTTGTTTTAAAAAAAACAAACATTTCAACTACTTTTAATGTAGTTGTTATATAGTCTCTCGCAGCACAAAAACACAATATGAAGGAGATTGTATGTGCACTGTTAATACACATAGGGAAAAATTGGGGTAAGGTGAAATTTGGTGTGCCAATGAAACTGAATTTCTAAAAAGTCAATAATGAAATGAATAATGAAATGTGCCCAGTGCATTGTGGGAAGGAAACATTATCAGAGAAATAGACAGCAGACCATGCCGCAGTGACTTGAACATTGTTTTTGAATTGATGTGGGAATATGAAATGAACTGCTCTCACTAGCACCATAGCAACCAAGTACACTTTTGTGCAAGAGGCAGATTTGCCTAGCGATAAGTATCATCCCAGTTACTCAGAATATTATAATGCGCTCATTAATTTGAATATCTAGCATGAACACAGTGCCCATAAATCTGAATAGTTACCATACAGTGCCCATAAAACTGAACAGTTAACATACAGTGCCCATAAATCTGAATATTTAACACACAGAAGCCATTAACCTGAATAGTTAATAAACAGAAGCCATAAACCTGAATAGTTAATATACAGTGCCCATGAATCTGAATATTTAGTGCAATAGTTAGCCTCATCTTGCAGTATATACAGTAATTCACAGATGGAAACAAAAATGATCAAAAGAAAAAAATAAATCATGCATATCTAAAATAACATGCAGGGAAAATATGAAATAATGAAAGTAGACAATGAATGGAATGGAACAAACTTTAAGATGTTTAATCTTGTCAAAGCAGGGCAATTTCCCAACATTTTAATTGGTTATGCTGATAAGAAGAAACCGATCTAAATCTTCACTAATTTTCAAACCAAAAAATTCAGTTTATTTCGGATTTCAGTTCATTCTGGCATCAAACTTTGGTAAACTTTTGGTAATCTTAATTTCAATGTTGTTTTGAATGAATGTACTCAGTATTAATATACTATAATGTTAAAATAAATTTTAAACTTCATATAAACAATTTGAGATTGCTAAACAACAACACTGTTTGGAAATAAATGTGGTATGACAAGATTTGGTATTGGATGAAGTACAGGAATGGCATATCATTATTTGTCTTTGTGCGGGGACAGACTCCATGGTAACGCATGCAGTACTGCTGCGGCAGGGCACTACAACACAACACAGAACAAATTTACAGCGACAAAAAAAAAAATGGCAAAACATGTAGTACCTTTGCATGATGCAATGCCAAACCGCAGTAGATTGCAAAAGTTTCAAACGACTCTTCATCAGACTTTGTAAATTTTCCATTTTTCTTGTTCACCATTTGCACCACACCAATAATACTGTAGAAACAAAAAACAACATTTAATAAGGTTGCCATGGTAATGCTAAAAATGATGATGACTTATACAAGCAGGCTGTTTTAATTCCTTTCAGCTGTAAAAAAAAAAAAGCTTTACAAATCTTACTTTTTTACAGAAAACCTTTTTAATTATTACAATATTAATGTCATGCTAAAATTCATTTCAAACATTTAGATTTTTTTAAACAGGGCTTTTTGAGAATTTTTTTTTTAGATTACTGTTCGAATTTGAATATTGTCACTAAGGATGTTTGGTACAGTTTCATTTTTGCAATGTTTAAAAAAAAAATTACAATGTTTTTGTTTTTTTATTTAAAAGGATTTGTTTCACTTTTTGCTCATAGAACCTGTGTAATATAAACATACAATTTTCTCAAAAATAAGGTTAATGACCCCAATTTATTATTGCTAATAGTTGATATCAGAATTATCTCCCAGTGTTCGAAAAATGAGAAAATTCTAAATGTTTCTGTGAAACTGTACCAAACATTCTTAAAAAAAATTCTAAATAAAAATTCAAGTTTGTCAAGAAAGAAAAAAAAAAGAATTATGTAGGCAATAGAACACCACACAAGGGCGCTATAACACCACATGGCGCTATAACATCATGCGAGGGCGCTGTAACACCACTTAGGGCGTCCTATTCAAGTTTTGATCACTGTTCAAAAAAACCCCATTGCGTATTGCGTTTGCCATTGTATTTCTTTAAAGAATACATTTGCCATTTGAGCAAGGAAAGAATCAATGCACTTACAGAGCTTGTATGTTTGTCACACTGTCAACACAAAATTGGAATCCATAATTTGAATAAATGACATGGACTCACTGAAATTGTGATAGAAATATTTGGCAAGTCATGACAGTCATGGCCTTTGTAAGTTTCGAGTCCTTAAGTTGATAAAATTATCTGCTCCATGGAGCTCTGCAACGTTGCATTTTTCCTCACCTTTGAACTATGACCCAATCCAATGGGGTCAAGCATTTTTTTTTTTTAAACCTAAAAATATGTTAATATTTACGACTGGCATCACATGCTTGCATTCTCTGTTTTAGAATTAAGATAAAATGCATTAACACATGCACGTTTCCATGTCAAGGGCAGATAAAAAAAAGGATCAAGAAGACAAAGATCTTCCGAAATTCCAAATATCGTGGTTACATAAATCAGTGGACGCAATAGTGACAAGTCACATGCGTGGTTGTCTCGCATACAGAAATCTCAGCGACCATTTGTGTTCAAGGCAAAAGATGCCAATTTTACATGATCAATGCTGGCACATTCTTCAAATAATAGCGTATTATAGAAAATACAGACCTTTGCCTTTGTCCACCCTTACTGCTATTCTGCACCGAGCAACATTTATATTTTACCATGCATAGCGTACACATGCTAATTTCTCCAAAATAGATCAATAATGGTGCCTGTATTACGGACAGTCCCCAGTACTGAACCAGAATAATTGAACTACAGTACTGGTCCATAAGATTTGTCTCCAGTACCAGACTGTTGTGGAGGACAAGCATTATGGTCCAGTACTGGAGATCTGGCGTACGGAACCATTTAATATGGAGGGCAGTCATTATGGTCTAGTGCTTTACTTTTACAGAGGAACTATTTTAAGAATGTACATTATTAATTCATGCTCATTTTTCCCCTAAAAGAATCATTAAATCTTTTACAATCTTGTGTGGCAGTTTTTATATTCTTGCGAAACAATGTTTTTTTTATCCAAATTTACCATTTTGGCCTTTTTCCTCATAAGTAAGTTTTACCTATTTAATTAATCCAGCCATGCATCATTACTGAATGAAATCAAAATTATAATGCCCACCATCTCCTCGTCCATTGGAATTGTGGGTAATCATGATGCTTCACCATAAAAGAAAACATGCACTGATCCAATACTGATCAAGTTCTGGCTAATAGTAACAATGCTTTCCAGTGACAGATGGAGCTGAGCATGGTTGACATCCATAACATATTGTACCAGCACTGCACCATAAATTTGTTGAGTTTAGAGAAATTTGCGTGTGTACAGTACTGAATTAAACATAACTGTTGTATTAAAGTGATGTAATTTGGCAAGACAGAAACATCCAGGAAATTTTGTAGAGGTGAATAGTTCTCAAAACAATCATTAAAATGAATCAGGTCATGGTTAGACATTAATTTTTTGACTAGCATTTTTCACTTTCAATGCTCACAAATATGTCCTATTAACCTCCTTATCTGGTAACACTGGTAGAAATTGGTAAAAAATTTACAAAAAAGAATTTTGAATTCTAATTTTGTTATTCAAAATTTAAATTCAAACTGATGTTGAAAAGAATAACAAACTGTATATCATCATATGCTTACCTTCTACATAATGGGAAGCAAATCAATAAAATAAAATAAAAAAGAAATTACAGAGAGACATAGGTGAGGGTCTCCTACGTCACATGATATATTCAACTACAGAAAGTTAGTGGAGGAAATAAATAGAAAACAAATAATAATAATAGAGGATGCATTGTGATTGTGTACGTGTATCTACTTTAACTCGAATGTGCTGTTGGGTGGACAAAATAAAAAACCATGTAAATTACGGTAGCTGAGTTTATGAGAATATATGTAGTATTTAGGAAAAGATTGGTGGAATTGCATTGTGGGATAGATTAATTAAAATAGATACATCCCATGACTCACTAGAGTCATAGATGGAAAACCTTGAGTACAATGATGGATAATAGGTGAGTACACTGGGAATCCATGGTACAAAACTCTAGAGTTGATTATGAGGAATCCTAGTGTTAGAACACTAGAGTCAATGGTAGAGTCATTAGAGTCAATGGTAGAGTCATTAGAGTCAATGGTGGATAATACTATAATTAGGTGCAAAACATTGGGAATCCATGGTAGAAAACACCAGAGTTGGTGGTGAGGAATACTAGTGTTAGAACACTCCAGTCTATGGCAGAGAACACTAGAGTCAATGGTGGAGTCATTAGAGTCAATAGTGGATAATATTAGCATTAGCTGAAGAACACAGGGAATCCATGGTAGAAACACTAGAGTTGATGGTGAGGAATACTAGTGTTAAAGCACTGCAGTCAATGGCAGAGAACACTAGAGTCAATGGTGGAGTCATTAGAGTAAATGGTGGAGTCATTAGAGTCAACGGTGGATAATACTAGTATATCAGGTGAAAAATACTAGAGTCAATGATAGAGAACACTAGAGTCAATGGTGGAGTCATTAGAGTAAATGGTGGAGTCATTAGAGTCAACGGTGGATAATACTAGTATATCAGGAGAGAAATACTAGAGTCAATGATAGAGAACACTTGAGTCAATGATGCAGAATGCTAGAGTCAATGATGGTGAACGCTAGAGTCAATGTTGGAGAATGCTAGAGTCAATGATGGAGATTGCTAGAGTCAATTTTGAATACTAGTAATACCTGAAGGACAGTAAAGTCAATTGCTGTACCAGAGGTACATGTGGCTAACATTAGAGTCAGGTGAACACTAGATTTCAAGGAATCATGGATATTGTTATAGATGGCGCTAGAAAGGATAATTTTCTGGTTAATAGGTTGAAATAAAAATTGATAATGGATAGTTGTGGAGAATAGTTACAGCAGGAATTGGAATTAGGGTTACGGTTAGTTAACTTATCCGTCAAGCAATTTTTCCAATATCAGGTAACATTACTGACAGTTAAAAAACACTCCACCAAGAGAAAGTAAGAACCCAACAGCACTACATGGAGCCAAAGAACAACAAACTTTCAAACACTAAAAATTTGATATTGCCAAACCATTAGTGCAAAAATGAATGTTTTAAAAAGTGCCAACTCATGCAAATAAACAATGTGCGCAAGCAAAAAAAATAGATAATAAAAAAAGTTTTATCTGACACAGTTGAGAAAAGATGCAGAAAACAAACAAACAAACATCAGAAAGATAGAGAACAAATCTGTAGGAATCCATACTTACTTTCCTCTAATGTAAATAGGCATGCAAAGTATCGTCTTCGTAACGTAACCTGTCTGGATATCAACATCCCTATAATAATAGAATGAGTTTGAAGCAGTTATGAGAATAATGTTGACATTTAACCCCTGTATATTTGTTGACCTTTAACCTTACATAGTTTATAGAAATATCACTCCTATCCTGGAATCATCCAGGATAGTTGTTGACCCATTTACAAAAAGAATGTTTAGGGTATAAAAGATGTATTTTGGATTTTTTTTTTTTTAAAAAACTTCCAAAATTTCTAAAACTTGTGCATTGATGTCAGTTAATTTTTGTTTCAGGATAATTTGTATTCATTTGATCAAACATTAAAATGAAATGCAAAAATAAATGATTGGCTGAGACACAGTCTCTCTAAGGACTTTGGCTTAGAGCCACGAAAATGAACTGAATCATTGTAGTGCCTGCAGACAAAACCTATCTTCTGTTATGATGCCATCAGTACATGACAACCTATTGACAATTAGTAAGCATGTAATAAAAAAAATACATATTTTGTCTTTCATAGATTATTTAGGTCCAAGAGAGTAAAATCTATAAAATTTACCGATATTTAAAATTTTTTCTATCCCAGTACTTGCCTGTTAAATCGCTCATCCAGATATGCGTCTGGTATATTTAGTGTACTTCCTGTAGAGGCCACATGTCCTGCTATCCCTTTCTCCATAGGAAACCTGAATTAGGTGAAAATAAAGAAGTCATGACCTGATAAAGTCTCTGTACATTTGTAGCGTAAGTTATCTCTGAGTGCATGTGCATATATGTCTCCCATGATAAACAAGGCATGTAAACAGCATTAGTTAAAACACAAAGGCCACCAGTGACCATTATTAATTAGATTTGAAAAACAAAGTGACGTACATACATCAAGATTACATAATATCCAATGTATGTCTTTACACGACTGAGATATGGTTCAAAATGAAAAAAAATGCTTGATTTAGAGAAATTTTTTGAATCAAAATGGCCGCCATATTGAATCTTAAATCAGATGTTAAAACAAAATTAATATACATACATACCCACAAGATGAAGGACACACACATATATATATATATATATATATATATATGAGGAGTTTGAACATTTTTAATTCAAAAATGTTGTGATACAGGCATGGATGCACAGAGGTAAATTGTAAATCAGCGTTTTCAGACTTGTGTATACCTTGTTAGGTATCAAGAATTCCAACAAGAACCTGACAGAAACTATTGTCTGTTTATTGCTGTTCCACCAAAACTTAATATTTAAGTTTTTACCTTATCTCTTTCTGTTTTGTTGTAGGTTGCGGTCCTTCACCGTTTCCAACATCAAATATTCTTGCATAAAGTTCATTTGTTTTCGTATCACACAGAAATAAAGACGCCCTGTCTGCGTTTACTAATTTCTGTGCATAGTTCTGTCGAATAAAGAAACAACAAAATGATTTCAATGAAAAATGGTTCACAGATATAAGATTGACAGTGTTCGAGAAAGTTTCACTGAAGAGGTCAAGAAGTATCTAAAAAAAAACAATTAATTTGAAAGTGAATTTCACACAATTTCATAATTTGCTCAATTTGAAGAAAAAGTCCACAGATATAAGAAAGTTTGTGTCAAGAAAGTTCCACTAGGAAGATCAAGGAATATCTAAAAAAAAAACAATCAAAGTGAATTTCATAATTTGCTCGATTTGAAGAAAAAGTCCACAGATATAAGAAAGTTTGTGTCAAGAAAGTTCCACTAGGAAGATCAAGGAATATCTAAAAAAAAACAATCAAAGTGAATTTCATAATTTGCTCGATTTGAAAAAAAAGTCCACAGATATAAGAAAGTTTGTGTTAAGAAAGTTCCACTAGGAAGATCAAGGAATATCTAAAAAAAAACAATCGAAGTGAATTTCATAATTTGCTCAATTTGAAGATTTTCATGATCCTTATTAGAACCATTTATAGTTATTTTTAAATTGTTCAAAGGTTCCATCTCACAAAATAAACTTAATAGAAAAATCATGTCCATTTGGTTCAAAATTAACAAAGAAATTATAAAAATAACACAAAAATAGGCAAAAATTGGTGAAGAAAAATAGATTAACAAATTTGATGTTAAAAATACGTACCATAATTTTCATTATCACAGTATCCATGCTGACAATGTCTTGAAATATGGATCTAAAAAAAACACAATATTTTCATAATGTCATAATAAAACAACAAACTGCAATATATGAACTGAAGAAAAAGCAGAAAAAGTGTAGAAAAATTTGGGCGAGAAATTCTGGTGGCGAAAAGGCTAAGTTTTCTGTGAGTTTCCTAAAAAGTTTTATGAAACTGTTTTATAAGTTTTTTGTTATTATAAGACAGGCCCAGGTGGATCCAACAATTTATTTACTACATATTTGCGAATCATAGATGTTGTTTGTTGACTTACTTTGTGACAGCTAAGAGAAATTCATTGAGTTTCCGCTGTCTCTGCATATTTTGATACATCTAAAGAAAACACGTCAGGAAGTAAAAACACAAAAATAAACCAAGGTTCGAGGTATAATAAAAGTTAATTATTATAATTACTATCATTAATTTGCTACGAGTTATTTTCAAGTTAATAGGCTCAGTAAATTCTTGGCAAATTTTGTTGATCATAAACAACAACGAGACAACAGATAAATGTTGTTCATATCTGAAATGTTGAGTTGATAAATGTTGTTTGCTGTCTCAGCTGTAATTTGTTGATGCATGTTGAAAGAATATAGTTTCAATATCACCATATGGTTATTGTACATGTCACACCAACATCATTTCAAAAATATTTGTTATTACCCCAACTAAAAAATTCCATAATTTGACACCTATCCATTCAATAAAACTTGCCAAGTTGATAGGAATTTTTACTTTATGCAAAAGCGAAAGTAAGCTAATGCTATGCTTAATGCACATGCAACATTTCTCGCAATCAACATGCATGCTCATTCTATTGTAAATACCATGTGACATATCACATGATAACATGTTGTCATGTGACACGTCACCTAGTTTTAATATTTTCTGGTCATGATTACCTCCAAGTTAACGGTTCAATTTCTAGATCTAATTCAAGTAGAATGATCTAATTCTAGCACAGATTTGTTCGTAGGAAACTTATTTATTGGAGTAAAGTTATGGCAATAGTGAAAACACACATATTTGAGTTGTGACCACAATATGTTACTTGTGATAACAAAAATATTCAATGACAACCAATTTAAAAAACTTGTTTTTCACATCTTTATCTGATTTAATAGTCCATTTTTTTGCACATGCTTCATAGATTACGAGCAACATTTAACAAATTATTGTAAAAAAAAACATAATTGTAGTTCTCGTCATCCAAACATCACTCATATCCCAGCATGCAATGTGGCACACACACATAATTGTTTTCAAGACAAATTTGAACATAGTGCACATCATACAGTTCTAAATTACCCATCAGGCATTTCAAAGTCACGTGATTGGTTTTAACCAATCATTGCTTCAGACTTATTTCCCATGATGCATTTTAACCAATCACAGTTAACTTGCTAGCATGCTTGATACCCAGGGCTCAAAAACTGCATCAAAGTATTCCAAACTCTGATGTGAGATTTTTTTAAAAGTTTTTTCCTCTAATAGATTGCCACTTTGTTCTGAGCTGATGTCACACTATATTCTTCAATCAGGCATAACTAAATCCATGCAGACAAAATGCAAAGTTACATCTACTCAGAAACAGCAAAACTGTTAAATGAATTGTTAGTAGCAAAATAAAAAAAAAAAAATTGTAAAGAACATCTGTAATTTTGAAAACAAAGACGGCACAATGAAACAAAAACAGGACGAATGGTTGAGAAGGAGCAAATGAAACATTATTTGGGTCCCTTGGGTAGCTTGTTAGTATAAATGGTGGGATGAACGAATGCAAATGGAACAGCAGTTACCCTTGCATGAAATTATGGGGAGGGGGGAGGCAAAAGTTAATGGAACAGCCTAGAACCTTTACGATCAGAGTGGGCAAGTTAGTATGAGAATAAGGTTAGGAAATTAAATGATAAAAAATCTGAGGATTGTGGGATGAACAACAGCAAATGGAACACCACAGGATTTGTTGATGCAAAGTTGGCTGACTGTTAGTAAATGAAACAGCATGGACAGATGAATATTTCACTTAGCTGTCCGTAGGATGGGGTGGGTGGCGGATAATGGAACAGCATAAGCTTGTCAGGTTAAAACTATGCAATGTGTAAACAGATAAAATAATTTATACAAATCAGATTCCTAAAAAACATATATTATTAATGTTTTACCTGTGAACGTTTATCAACATTAATAAATTTATATCTAACGTGTTTTTTTTTAATGTAGACACTTTCTCTGACAATATTCTAAATGGATTAGAGTTATAAGGTCAACCAACATTATTATTATTTTACAATAAAAAAAAATTAAAATTGTTAGTAAAAATATATATAATTTCAATGTGTTCTTTGTTTAGTTAGCTTTCATTCAATAAGTTAAAAAGGCATACAAATTTATTCTCTTAAACTGAAATGATGGTACTTAATGAAAGTGTTCTTAACCCTCTTTGTTTTGATTGCATTACCCGAAATGCAGAAGATTTGAAAACAAACAGATTTCAATGAAAATACTGGTTTTACAAGATATATGATGACAACCACATCAACGTAACTCATGAACACTCTTCAGACGGGTTCCAAGGCCTCTAATAAGTATGAGCTAATTAGCATAATTTCTAAATAACAAAGTTCAGATTTAATAAGTTCTCCAGGAGTTACTTATATCACCAAAAGATGATATAGATAATTATAGAATATTTTTAATCGGGAATCGCTCAATCCCATTGATTGCACCATATGCTCATGGGTAATTAACTCCGCCTCTGCCCACTAAGTAAATGAATGCCTATTATGATCGCTTACTCAAACTGTGATTGACAGGCTTTTTGCATACATTAGTTGCCATTTTAAACTCATGATTTTTACTTGGTGCGGCAGGTTTCGACCGAAAACAACAACTTTTATACATCAGAAGCCCAACCAGACGAGTGTAATCGCTAGTGTACATATTCATGCCTCCGTAGAAATGTATTTGGAATCACAGCTTGATCTCTAAACATGGTAAATGGCATATTTCACGGAGCTCCCACCACGATGTGAGCGACTTGGTTCGGATTAGCATACTAATTGCGGTGGCCATCTTGCCCCTATTTTTAGTATCGGCTTCCCTTTAATCAATTTATATCACCCTGACATTTCACAGATGAATGCTAACAACGCTAATTTTACTACCGGTACTTTTTGAAAATTTAGAAGAAAAAAATGGTTTCCTTGAATTCATTTTACCTAGAGCTCAAATCAGTCTAAAGATCTCAACTTTTTTTATACCATTGCAAATAAAAGATCACAAAATTGCTGTCACCATGGAAACAAGCATCCCAACCTACGTTTTTTATTTGCTTTTTAACCACATACTTGATGTAAATAAAATAACACATTTTGAAGTTTTATTGTTCAGTTATTTCTTTTTTTATACCTTTAAGCCTTTAATGTTAAATTTCCATAGTATCTATTGCATAGGTTTGTATGCTAAAACTACTTCTTCATCCTCATAGTTTAGCAACGTGATTGTCACTGATTTGAATCCTAAAATTGTGAAATACTGACATTTGGGTTTTTATCATGATATTTTTCTGTTATATCCAATCAATCTCCCATAATGCATTGCATACACGATGCTACATTAGAATTTTTGTTATTCATCGCGTCATTGTTAGTTTTTGATTCTCTTTAAGATACACTAGTTTTGAAAGTCATGGAATCATATTATTTTTTTTAGAATTTCACACACAATGCAGAATGGCATTAAACATAGATTAATTTACGCAGGCAAATACAGGGTTGCAGTTTTAGTGAAAGAAGATAACAAGAAAAATCGGTTAGCAAGGTTACAAAAAAAATAAAGCAAAAAAAAAAAATGTTTTGTTGTATTGGGTAAAATTGGGCATCAAGCATGCAAGCATTTAGGCCAGAATACAGCAACATGCATTCCTGAGTTCTGAGATTTGCTTTGTGATAATGAGTTGGAAGGGTAATCCTCTAGCCTGAAAAATATTAAAAACAAAAGTTTTGAAGATTTCAGACTATAGAGGGCTCCATTGCATAAAATGAAATCTGCTTCTTTGCGCTTATCATATTAAAAACAAGAGTTTTGAAATTGTCAGACTATAGAGGGCTCCATTGCATAGAATGAAATCTGCTTCTTCGCTCTTATCATGCTCTTTTTAGCACATCCACTGACACCATTTTTCTCATCTTCATTTTAGCTATTCATGGAGGCTTTATGCGGGAGATATGTTCACAATAAAGCAATTCTCAAAACATCTTATCAAAAATCTTTTTTTTTTCTTTTGCTAAGAACTACCCGAAGACAAAAAAGAGGTGCAAACACAAACCTCTCTGTCCAATAGTTTGCCATTACAATGCTACATTCATAGTTGATAACATGCAGGAAGATAAGGAGTGCAGAGGAGAAAAACATTGATTAGTTAGGGTGCCTTAGGTTATTAACATACATCATTACAAATTTGACATATGACCCTTCCAGTGCCAAAATTACAATTTTTAAAATTAAAAAAACATGTCAAAAGGTAGATGGCACCTAAGGATGGATTATGATATTGTGTGAAAATAGGTTATCAGATTTATTATACAGATAATCACATTTATGCCAATTTAATTATGAACATATTAACACATTCTTGCAATAACTTGTTTTATATTCTAAAAAAAAACATCAATTATAGTACTGTGGAATACTTTATTTTCGCTGGAATTAATTTTCGCTGAAAAGGCTTTTTAAGCGTTTTGTATGGAATTTATTTTCACTGATTTTTGGTGAGTTTAATGTGAAATATAGGAAAAGTATATTCGCTGGATTTTATTTTCACGAAATCATCCCTTCAGCGAAAATAGCGAAAATAAATTCCAAGCGAAAATAAAGTATTCTACAGTATTAAAATATGATCAGTTATGATTAAATTGTTTTCAAAGAGGTCAAAAGTCAAACAGAAATATAAAATGGTTGACAGAATCCAGATTTGTTTTCAAGAATATATTTGCTCTCAGAATTTTTTTTAAATTTTTTTTTTCAAATTATTTAATATGATTAAGATTCTTAATTTGTTCCACAATTCATAAAATATTACCAATAGATACCATCTATTTGACTTGTAAATAAAGAAGCTATTATCATCAGTAAATTAAAACATTGTGTATGTCACTAAAACTTGGTGCAATCGGAATTTTGACCCTCAAAACACTTTTTTCATAAATTTCCAACAAACATGTTTCATTTATTGAAACCTTATGATGAAATTGAATAAAGAAAAAAAGTAAGGTTTTTTAAACTATTTGAAAGCAACTTTAATTAATTTGCTTGTACTTGTATCACCAAGTACACCATTATATGGACAAGGAAGGGATAAACAAGTAAGGACCGAACCATTAAATTTTAGAGAGGGATAGCTAGGTAACGATCACACCATTACATTTTAGGAAGGGATAGCCAAGTAAGGATCAAACCATTATATTTTAGAAAGGGATAGATAAGTATGGATTGAACCATTATATTTTAGGGAGGAACAGCCAAGTAAGGATCGAACCGTATATTTTAGGGAAGGATAGCCAAGTAAAAATCAAACCATTATATTTTATGAAGAGATAGCCAAGTAAGGATCGGACCATTATATTTTAGGGAAGGATAGCCAAGTAAGGATCGAACCATTATATTTTAGGGAAGGATAGCCAAGTAAAAATCAAACCATTATATTTTATGAAGGGATAGCCAAGTAAGGATCGAACCATTATATTTTAGGGAAGGATAGCCAAGTAAAAATCAAACCATTATATTTTATGAAGGGATAGCCAAGTAAGGATCGGACCATTATATTTTAGGGAAGGATAGCCAAGTAAAAATCAAACCATTATATTTTATGAAGGGATAGCCAAGTAAGGATCGAACCATTATATTTTAGGGAAGGATAGCCAAGTAAAAATCAAACCATTATATTTTATGAAGAGATAGCCAAGTAAGAATCGGACCATTATATTTTAGGAAACAATAACCAAGTAAGGCTCAAACCATTATATTTTAGAGAATAGAAAAAACATCAATTGACAAATTCAGCTTTCAAACTTTTCTCCCAAGCTGCTTATTTTTGTAATTTCTAAAATTTTCACTCGATGTGAAATACAAGCATATCAAGTTATATACCTGGTATAATTTTTGATTTCTGAAAAAATAATTACTCCTGAATTTATAGATCATATTAAAAAATATTTGTGTTTTGAGGGTCATATAAAAACTTGCCTCAGATGATACCAGTTCCCGAACAGAGGCCTGCAAAAGGGGTGGTTGTTTTGAAACAAATAAATACACACATTAAGTACAACGTGGAAACCAAAATATCAACGTAGAAATGAAATAACACATATAACAGGGTTACCATGGGAATTGGCACTGCAAAGGTAACAATAATTAGAAAAAGAAAAACACTCTGCAAAAAGATGATTTTTAGAATGCACACACAAAAAACAAAAACTGGCATATGATGACCTTTAACCTTTAGTTAAGCTGATGGAAGATGACAATACAACAATCAGAAATACAGTATGCTTTGCATGAAATCCGATTGGCCGATGAGATATTGCATACCTGCTTAGTACACCAATAGCAATATGAATATGTAAATTAGTATGAACTATGACCTCAATATAGATGAGAATAAATTATAATTCTAAAAATCAAACAAAATCCTATTTTTTTTTCGTGTTAATTCCTCTACCAAAATTATCTAATGAGTTATCAATTCCCCAACCCATTTGATTTGAATTTGAAAGAGACATAGACAAAGACACACAGCTGTAAACCCTATGAGTATGATAGTTGATACCATGGCAACAGATCACATGATACATATATAGAACAACATATATAATGTTGACGATATTACCTCGGCATAGTAGAGAGCAATACCACCCCACACAAGGTAACTACTCGCAATCTGAAAACAAAAACACAAATGGGGAAATGAAATAACACCTCATAGTCGTATAACAGTTTGATGTCGGATCCATGCTATGTGCATAACTAAAACTCATAAAATAAATGTAGCAGTCATTTTATTTGAACTCTACATGTAAACACTATACCATCCCACACCACTAGAGGGCACTGTTTCAGTCTCATATACTTTGCAAACAATACATTGTGTGTACATATATACATAGACTGGCACAGTCGGGGCGATTAATTTGTTTTGTAATAAAAAAAATCGCCAAATGGAGGTTTATTCTGCAGGAAATTCATTGCTATTAAATATTCATGAGCACATATTATAATGAAGTGGGCGCGGAAATACGTGCATAATGAGATCAACATAGTAAAGGTCACACTGCAGACCCAACATGGCGGCACGTTGAATTTCGAGTTTGTCGTAGTCGTCGTTTCTTATTCATCACAATGTAGAAATGAAACTCGTACTGTCGTAGAATTGAAAAAAAATCGGCTGCTACAATCAGCTGACGTCTTCTCGATCAGAGGTCAGTTGAAGAGACGTGATTGGCTTAGATGATTGTCAGTGAGAACACTCATTAACATAATAACCCGTTGCAGTGTCGATAGAGGGCCATGTAGAATAAACCAGTCGGGGTGATTTCGCAGTCACAGGGATTTCGCACTAACACCTCCATTTCGCGATTTTTTTTTATTTTATTTAAACTACAAAAACAAATTACCCCGTAATCGCCCCGACTGCGCCAGTCTAAAATATACACTGTTAACACAAAATTCAAATATGTATTGCCATGACAACTTTAAAAATTAAATGCCAATAAAACTGTTTGCATAAAAATAGACACATAATAGCGTGATGCCATGAAACTCAGCTCATTACCACATAATAGCGTGATGCCATGAAACTCAGCTCATTACCACATACTGATTAAAAAGTGTATCTCAACTTTGTGATTTTTAACTAAGTTGCAGCATTGGGTATAAACCGTGGTACTAGTAAATAATAGCGTTTCATACCTCTTCATCTTCCTCGCCGAATGGATAGTTTCCTTCTGATCTGAAGAACTCCAGAACACCTGGAAACAAACATAGAGAAATGAGAAGCATTGCCCTAACTATGGTTCATATATAAGTACCAATCATTACCATATATGGTGATTTTCTCTCTTAATATCAAATCATGATACTCCTGTTACCAACATTACCATGTATGGCAATATGTCTTAGCAATTCCTGTTTCGTCTGGCTTTGATATTACCGTATATGTTAATTTATTTAGTCAGTCACCATTATAAATATATATGGTAATACATGATTCTGTTATCATCATCATTACCAAATCTTCTTTTTCTTCAGTTTCCAACATTACCATAAATGGATGACTTACTTCTACATTTTATAATTAGTAATATTACCATATATGGTAATTTCATATTTATTAAGTCTTCAGCATTACCATATACATTGTATAACTGGTTATATTACCATATATGGTAATTTCATAGTTATTCAGTCTCCAACATTACCATAATATGGATAATTACCAATATATTGTATAACTGGTTATACATGTATTACCGTATATGGTAATTTCATAATTATTCAGTCTCTAACATTAGCATATATGGATAATTACCAATATATTGTATAACTAGTTATACATGTATTACCATATATGGTAATTTTATAATTATTCAGTCTCTAACATTACCATATATGGATAATTACCAATATATTGTATAACTAGTTATACATGTATTACCATATATGGTAATTTTATAATTATTCAGTCTCTAACATTACCATATATGGATAATTACCAATATATTGTATAACTAGTTATACATGTATTACCATATATGGTAATTTTATAATTATTCAGTCTCTAACATTACCATATATGGTTAATTACCAATATATTGTATAACTAGTTATACATGTATTACCATATATGGTAATTTTATAATTATTCAGTCTCTAACATTACCATATATGGATAATTACCAATATATTGTATAACTAATTATACATGTATTACCATATATGGTAATTTTATAATTATTCAGTCTCTAACATTACCATATATGGTTAATTACCAATATATTGTATAACTAGTTATACATGTATTACCGTATATGGTAAATTACCAATATAAGATAAGATAAGATAATTCTTTATTACAACCTTATAGAATGAATTACATATCTATTTTGGTTTATGAAATGCAATAAAGGTGTTAAAATAAACATAACAAGTTAGATATCTAAAATCTACTACAATACAGTTACATGAAATAATGTAAAAAAAAAAAATATTAATGACCCATTAGGTGGTTTTCTCTAATGGTATTTGCTGTTTTTATAAATTTGATATTTATATTGTATAACTGGTTATACATG